GGAACTCGAAAAGACCTTAACAACTGGCTTTGGATTCTCCCAAGTTCCAACTACAACTCTTTTTTTTTGGAACTCGAAAAGACCTTAACAACTGGCTTTGGATTCTTCCAACTACAACTCTTTCTTTTTTCTTTTTCCGAAAGCGTTTAAAAAAAAAAAAAAAAAACAACACTAACAAAGAGAAACAGAAAAAAGATCTATCTCAAGCGATGCTAACAGCCAAGATGGCCACACCTCCCAAGCAAGATCAACTTAGTAAGGAAATCTCAGACGAATGTTACAAACGTCCTGTATTGAATTTGAATGAAAAGTGAAATAGGTATAAATAGATTGAGTGTTTATAATACTTATTAATTTAAGCTTTTGGGTCGCCACACCAAGCGCTGGACCCAAAAGCATCTGGGTGAACACTCCTGAGTAGGTAGAGTGGCCCAACTTTAATGAGTGTGTTGATAGTTCGAGTGGAAAAAATTATTACAAGGGGACTCTTGTCTTACATTGGATTCAAATAAAAATTGAAATGGGTATAAATTGGTTAGGTGTGGACGAAATGGGTATAAATGGGTCGAGTGTGGGTGTTGCGAGTTTGGGTGGAAAAAATTGTTACAAGGGAAGTCTTATCCTACATCGGATTCGAATAAAAAATAAAATAAGTATAAATTGGTTGGGTGTGGACGAAATGGGTAGTATAAATAGGTCGGTGTGGGTGTTATCACCAGATAATAGTTTAAACTTTTTAGTCAACCAAGTTACACTAGTCTACTTACCAAATCCACATGTAGGCTTCTACTCTAAGCACTAGCTAAAATGGAATTAAAGTCTTGTTCCTATCTCCTATAAGACACGAAGTATTTTTTTTTTTTTTTTTTTTACTTTTGAAAATCCGGACTCTAATCAATAGCTAAAATGGAATTAGAGTCTTGTACCTATCTCCTATCAAAAACGAAGTAGGTTCGATTATTGGGGCGCATCGGAAGTGGAATGATGGAGGATTTTTTATTGGGTGAGGGGCTAATTGGGATTGTTTAAGTATCGCCAAACATAAATCTGCCACAGTTGGACTGGTCCGAACAAACGGAGGTTCATTTAGGCTAAAACACTGTTTTGGAGTGGTCCAGAAAAATAGACTGGTTTATTTTGGCTATATTGTAATTGTACGCGCCAATAACAAAACATGCAAACCATATTGAAGATCCAACCAATGCAATAAATTAAGCATCTATAAAATATTTCACAACACATGATTTACATGATTCACCTAAACACAAGTTACATCCATTGATGAGGAGATTGTACTATAATGATGATTAGATATTACAATCTGTAGAGAATTACCAATACCGAAACAACTTAGTATACTCACTATCATAAATAGTTTTCCCTGTGTAATTGGTTGCCCGGGCAGAGAAGGAATACCTGAGCCTTGTACCGCATACTGCAAGACGCCCTTTTGCTACGAGACACCCTCTCATTTTCAGCGTTCACTCTATTAAACCTAATACTCTCTATCCATTAACTCACAAATCTTACACAAGTCTCACAAAATCTCTATTCACTTTTGTCACACCCCTGGCGAGACTACCCTTTTAGAGTACATATATCTCCACTCATACTTTTCAACAACATCATAGGTACCTATTTATAGTGTCCCATACCACAATGATTACAATTTCTAAGAGCCCAAAACATGTTTCTACAAGAAATTACACTAATAAATTATTTCTAAAATAGAAACTAATATTAATATAAAGTGTAAGTCACAATTCCTAACACCGATAAATGACCCGGATCTTATATGTGTTTACACCAAGACAGACTTTAGAACCTACATCGTGTCTTGTGTAACTTCATCGTGTACCATGTCCTATGCCATTAGATTGCTTATGCAATAACTTAAAACATTTATGAAATAATTTTTCATCACTTATGCAACAACTTATACATTAATTTTTTCATATATTGTATCTATTGCACTACAATGCAATGTGTCACACTATATAGGATTAAGGCATATGTTCTCCTCTACACAATAATCTAGATCAATTAAAAGTTCGTTTTGTATCTTAACTACTCATTTTCAAATAATATCCACATTGTCCACAAATATTCATTTTTTACTTCAAATTTTTTTATAATTTAATTCATAACAATTTTTGAATTGAATCAACAAATGCTTGTATTTTTACGTCATCTCAAGATCATTAAAACTATTTCTTATAATTACGCCATATGACACTAATATGACGTATTGGAAATGACCTGACAATAAAAATTAAAGATTCAAATTTTAATGATACATGACATATTATAAAATCGTTACAACATTTAATAATGGTGGGACGAATGACCTTTTTTTGAGATAGTAATTAAGACAAAATATAACTACAGCACTTATGGACTGGCGGAAATAACTGTCATTCAATTTTTGCACATAAAATTTTCATTTTTGTGTTAACTTTCACTTTTTGTACTTAGAGATGGTGATTAGGCCATTCGAATTTTAATGACACGTGACATATCATAATAAAACCGTTACAACATTTAATTATGATGGGGCAAATCACGTCTTATTGAGACAAGAATTAAGACAAAAAAAAAAAAAAAAAAAAAAAACTACAACAATTATCGACAGTTTTGTAATAAATTATTGTCATTCAACTTTTGCACATCTAATTTTTATTTTTAAGTGAACTTTCACTCTCTGTAGGCACGGACGGTAATTAAGCTTCACGTGACACTGATGTTGTTGAAGGATATAAATATTAAATTTATACCTTTTCCAACAACTTAAACTTTTAAAATATATAATTATTAATAGGGTATAGAGTCAAATATCTCGAATTCAAACATCACCGTTACCCTAATTAAAAAATTGAAAAGTCATGTGAATGAGTGTGTTGAAGGATATAAATATTAGGTTTAATTTCACTGACCCTTTCAAGTTTGACCAAATATCACAGTAAAACATTTTTCGAATATTACTATCACTAACACCCTAAATAACTTTTCCATCATTAACACCATCAAAATAGATTTGAAATAACATTTTTACCTCATTTTTTAAATGTCTTTTAATTTAGGATTAATTTTAATGACACCTCCTAAGGTTTGGACACATATCACATAGAGATATTTTTCGAAAATAAATATTACTCAGACCCCAAATCACTTTTCCGTTACTTTTACCGTTAAAAATATGCTAAATTTACTCCTATTTTTTAATCCAATATATGGGCAAATTGAAAAGACAATATTGCCCTCGTTAGCTTTTCTCTCTCTCCTCTCCGTACACTGGGTGGGTATGGCTTTGAGCCTTCAATACTTTAATGATCGGAAAAAATCTTCTTGTGGTTTTTAATGATGTCAACTTTTTTCTTCCAGCTATTAAAAACTTTTTTCTTTCTTAACATTGAAATTAAATATATTTTAAAAATAAATATACATATTTATTACCATATTGAATTTACAATAACACATTTACAAGACATGAAATTGAATACTACAAATATATTTTAAAAATGAGATATACGATTTCTTAACATATATTTTTAAATAAAAATTTATATATAAGTACATTTTATATTCAATTATATACATTGGACTAATGGGGGTAAAAATGTTAGTCTATACATCAAACAACTATTTTGTTATTCAACACAAAGTCAAAGGCTAACAATATTATTTTACATGCAAAAAGTTGTCTTACGTCACTAAAAAGTAACCATTGAGTTATGAGTGAAAAACGGACTATAAGTTTGCGACGTGAGAGATAATAATTTTCGAAAGTATGATATTTGTCAAAACTTCAAATGGTGTCATTGTAACTAATCCTAAATATTAAAAGTATACCATCTTTATTAATTTAAACTTTTGAAGGAAATGATTATTAACAAACGTTGTATATTGATAATAAGTTCAAGTTTTAATGAGTCGTTACAATATTCAATTATGATGAGACAAATGACACCTTCTTGAGACAACAATGAAGACAAAAATAAAAAATAACTATAGCAGTTATAGACAGTTATGACAAAAATAACTATTCAATTTTTGAATGTGTAATTTTGATTTTCTTTTTGTATGCTTATAGAAATTCCCTTTTATGCGTTAATTTTAACTTTTGTAGTAGTGTAGTGTAATTTTCTATTTCGTACTCAAATTATAAGCAAATAAAATCTCAAGTCTTCAAAAGTTTTTGTATTTTTTTGCCATGCATTCATTCCTTCATTGTTGAAGTCCTTTTAAAAAGTTTTTCATTTTCTTCTACATTGGCCTAATTCATTTGGTCACTTCACGGCCAAAAAACGTATAGTCGTATACCATAATGTCTGGCACTTCTTTTTACACTGTGTTCTCGGCGAACTCTCGCATGCTCATGTTCCACACAAAAATCTCCATAAATTCTTTTTGTCAAACAATATGTATTAAGTTAGTTCAATCCTTACAATATTTGTCCCTGCGTGACCCGATCTAAGCCATTAATTAAAATAATTTGGTTAAATAAATTGGTCGAACGGGGACAACAAAATGTACAGTATTTATCTAATCCATTAAATTTACATTGGACACGTTCAATTTTGACTAAAATCAGCACAATTGGATGACAGCCAAGTAATATATATATATATATATATATATATATATATATATATATATATATATATATATTAACCTAGTGGCTTTCCCAATTATAATTATAGATTTTGTTAACTTCAAAATATAATGGAAAAAAAAAAAAAAAAAAGTGAACATAATAAATAAATTTGTGTGTCTTATATTTAAAACTCTTTAATTGAATGAGACGAGGTTGGAGTAGAATAATTTTGACAATCATTTTCAAATCTACTCTTCGAATTTCCATTGAGGTGGGTCAATACTTAATTGTAGGAAAACAATTCCGCCACAGCACGATAATCAGCCACTTTCATGAGCATATTATAAAATATTTGAAATTCGAATTCAGCCTTTCTTTAAAAATTTAAATTATTGATTAATTGTCAAAAAAAAAATTGAAACCAATATATTCCACATAGCCTAACTAAGAAATGTTGTTCACAAATTGCATGAATATCCAGCAATATACATAGTTCAGATTTAGCAAATGTGTAACAACAAATCATGTCAAAAGACTAAAGCTCAATTCTTGTATTTAAGATTGCTTTTGCTAAACGTTCATAAGCAAAACTCTCAATTCCCACAAATTTCCTATCCAAAACTATACGGAGTACTACTTTTTCAAAGCAACCAAACACATTCAATCTCATGAAACCCCAAAACCACAAACCAATCATCACCTCCTCCGACCATCCGAGTATTGAGACAGCGGCACCACCTCATAGAGCGGCGTGGACAGCGGCGTCGGCAGTGGAGAGTTCCGGCAGACCGGACACGACGCGTTCAGCTTCAACCACGCGTCGATGCAAATCAAGTGAAAGTAATGCCGACAATCCGGCAACATCCTCATCATCTCGGCGTCCTTGTACTCGCACAAACAGATCGAACACGTCGAATCATTGCCTCTACCACCACCGTCCTTCGAAAATTGAAATCTAGGGTACGAATTGATGACTGCTTGATCCAGCCCTACGACGGCGTTTTCGGTGCCGTCGTCGTCGTCCTCGGCAACGAATATTATACGGGGGAGGACGATGCCGTTGTCGGAGTTGTTGGGGTTAGGGTTTTGGTTTTGGTGGCGAGGGCGGCGGTGGATGGCGCGACAGCAGACGTAGGAGGCGAGGACGAGGGTGGAGAGGAGGACGAGGAAGGCGAGGGCGATGGCGATGGAATAGCCGAGGCCGAGGTGGTTGAAGCTTGGGGCGATGTAGTTGGCCGGTGGTGGTATGGCACCGTATGCGGCGCCGGGAACGGTGGTGGTGGAGGAATTGACAGCAGAAAGGCTGCCGCTGCCAATGGAGGTGTAGGACATTGGGAGGGAAGTGGGGTGGTAGGAATTTCCATTTGTTTGTGAGGAGGAGAGAGAGAGAGAGAGGGAATAGTGGGTGGATCTTTATTTGGGGAAGGTTGGTGGGTGGGTGGGTCTACTGCATTTAATACTCTTCTTTGGTTTGGAAATAGAAAAGGTCAATGGGTCATTAATAAGGTGGATGGGTAATTGGGTAGGCATTTGGATTTGAATTCGGGTTCGGAAATGACGGGTCGTGATAAAATTATGCTGAATTCTCGGAAAGGTAGAAATCGAATCTTACTAGAATTCATTTTAGAAGACTCCTTGATTACTGAACCATTTGTCTGCCAGTTATGAAATTGATTTTGGAAAGTCAATTTAGAGTTTCACCATTGAAGTTCACACCGCATGAGATTTTGAGGGATTTAATTTGGATAAAAACTGACATCATAATTAAAATAATTGCTATTAGTAAACTTTTTAATGCGGTATCATCACTCATTTATTTATTTTTTATTTTAGAGAATTTCAAGCAAATAAAGAAAAATAATTCTTAAATAAGTTTCAATAACGTTAATCTTTTACAAATTGTCTATTCTAAAACCTTTTACCTCTTCCTTTGAGGACAAAAATGTTATCCCATTGAAATAATGGCTTTTTGATAGTGCCCAATCAAATTGGCTCATCATATAAGTTTGTACTTTGTAGAAAGAAAGAGTTGCACAAAATTATACTCAAATTTTCCAAAACACCACGAATAAAATGTGCCTAAGTCCGTGTTATTAAGGGATACTGGATCAAAGACCCGACAACCGGCTCATGTTTTCATCCACACTTTAACTTTCCTCTTTCCCTTTTTCTTTAATGTTTTTCCTTTACCTCGATCAAAGTCTTAAAAAAATACTAAAAAGAATGAGAGATTCCATTCTCATCCGTCAATCATTTAAATTGTTGACCAGACAAAAAGAAGTAGAAGAAATTTCGTTTCACACCATGAAACCAAATACACACGGATAAGGATCTCAAATGTAGGATTATAGTGTAAATATAGCCGTATATGTTTGGCATTGAGGTCGTGATTTTCATAATTAAAAGACAATATATATTTATATATCATGTTAAATAACCTTGTAAGATCAAGCTCAAAACCAAAATTTTAACTCATGGATGCAATCAAGTATCACATTTTAAATGACCTTGTAAGATCTCCTAAAATATGATATGATTTCTATATTGATGGGACATAATTAAAAATAAAAATAATTCAATAATTTGATTTTAAAATTTTGTTAAGTTATTATTTTTCAAATCTTGGATTTACAGTTGCATATATTGAGAGAAGTTTTTTAAAATTAAAGTTGATCAAATCTTACCAATTTCGACGATGTAATAAGAGATATTGATTGAATGAATTGGCTATAATATCTATTAAAAAAATATGTTAGAGAAAGTTGATTAGAGTACTTTAATTAATAATTTTACAACACTAAATGCAAGACGATCATATTTACTTTGATATGGAGTTAAATTTTGATTTTTATTATTATGTTGTGTTAAATATTTCTTTTAATTTTTTTTATGTAAACTAAATTGTACTCTTTATAACATTAAGACCGAATTTTATTTTGTGTGTTTTTAATATTAATATACTTATGTGTTCATTATATCATTTTAATAAAAATTTCACACTCTTAAATTTGTTACGCGTGTAAATCTTATAAAAAGCCACGCATTTGAGAGTTTCCTCCCAAATTTTGAGACAAGTGGTTCATTCTGGACCATTTACTTTATTTGGACAGAAATGGTTGCACGGGTGCAGTTTCCCATTTCTCTTACTAATTTCCCATTTCTCTCTACTAAAACGGACGAGAAACGAAGACCTTAAAACAAAGTGTCCTTATTTGTTTGGCAGGTCACATCGATCTAAGCACCTTTAAAATAATTAATTATAATTAACATATGTCTATAAGCTCTCTGGTCCACAATGAAATATTATCCTATTAAAAAAACTTATTATTTTAATAATAAAGTAGGCATTTATGCACATACACAACAACTGGATTGTTTGTGATAGGCGTTAAAAGTTGCTGTTGAAACTTGAAAACTATGTGGTATATCATAAGAGTACATGGGCCACAATATTTAACGCCTAGTCCCAAATTCCATAAATCTCTGCACTATTATCTCAAACAATTGGCTCCATTCTTATCAACCAAAACATAGAATTTACTCCACTGCATGTTACATATTAAAACATGGGTGAACTGCATTAAACCTTTTTCTTTTTTTTTTCCTTTCTGCATTTTGCACTAAACTCTTTTTTTCTTTTTTATTTTATTAAAAAAAACCCTTCGACTATTCAAGGGGATGATTTAATGGACAGAAGTTAATTGAAAATGATCTATTTAGATATTGAGTTTTTTCATATATTTTTGAGACAAAAATATCCTTGTACCTATTTTAATATACCACACATATACATCTACTTCATTATCACTCTTAGCCGCATATCTCCACCATTGCAGCAATACGTATTCTTCTTTTTGCTCAACTTCTTTTATTCATTCATTCATCACACATATATATATAAACCATTATAATATTATATATAATATGTATCATAATATAATGGTATATATAATATGTACCATTAAATATTATTTATACTATATTTACATTTTTATCCAACCTTCTGACCTATATAAATCTTGATTTTTCCTTGAAATTTATCTGTTATTTATTTTTATTTTTTTAGAGAATTATATTGTGCATTCATTTATTTGGTTTTTTTTTTAATTTTCATTTTATACAAATTTGTTAAGGGGATTCATCTTATACTTCTACAAGAAGTAATACCTAATTTTTTTCCTTTTTCAATTATTTATGTCTACATTTGTTTCTTCTTCTTTTTTCTTTTTCTTTTTTTATAAAAAATATATTCTTTCCATGCAACTAATGTGAACTTGATAATCATCATGACATTATTATGAAATTGTTTAACTCGTGCTTTTACAAACAAAATATATATTTTTAATTAAATAAAAGACTGCTTTCAAAACCTTATTTTTTATGTCCTCGATAGTCTAGTAAAATGTTAAAATATTAAAAATATATATAATAGAAATGCTAATTTCTATGAAAGATGTCGTTTAGGTTATTTAATAAATAAAAAAAATACCAACAATGGCCTAGCGGTATTGGGCCCTTACTTTCCAAAGTGAGGTTAGAGGTTCAAGCATCGGTAGAAACATGTGTGTGTGAGTACCAACTAATAAATAAATAATAATAATAATAAATAATAAATAAATAAGACACACCCACAAAGTAGATTTTCAAAAAGGGCTCATGGGTATTTATTTAAGTCGGTTTCTATTTTAGTTCTCTTTCAGTTAACTCCCTTGAATAGTTGAGGAGGTTTTTTAGGCTCTGTTTGGTTAGACAGAAAATTTTATGGAAAGTGAAAGTGAAATAAAGTAAAGTGAAAGAAAGGAAAATCAAATTTCTATCATGCATTTGGTTAACAGGAAATATTTTGAAGAAATTTATAAGAAAATATTATTTTATTAGTTTGGATAGCATGAAAATGAAAATAAAATGATTCTACTTACTGAAATTACCCTTATAATTTTAAATAGTAAAAAAATAAATAAATTTATGTTTGATATATATTATTTATACTTAATTATTTATTTTAGTAAGGAAATAGTAAAATATGGAATAAAATAATATGTGATATCATAATACAATTTTTTTGCTTTCTCATCTCTCTATATAAATTTGTTTTCTCCTCTCTCTATATATATTTATTTGTTCCTGTGTAAACTTGAATTCTCGACCATTAAGGTAAGAAAAATAAGTTTTTGGTAAAGTGAACTATCAAAGTTCAAGTATTTATTTTCTCTTTATGTTAGTTTTAATTTTATTATTTATTATTTATTTGTAAATGGTATAAGTAGATATTATATATCTAATTGCAACTTTCTCACTGAGAAAATAAAGTCATAGATAGATTATGTAAACTATTTACGAATCATCAATTATTTATTTCAAGATAATGTTTGATGTTAGGTATGAAACAAATTGTGTTAAGATAATGTAGACTAGTTTTCACCTAACACTCTTGTTATCAACAAATAGCTATGTATATATATATAATAACTCTTAATCATAATCAATTATAGAAAAAAATATTTTACTTATTTAAGACATTTCAAAAAAAAAAAAAAAATGAAAAAAATTATTCAGTAATAAAAAGAAAAAATGAAAATTTTCAGATGCGGGAATCCTACTTTCCCCAAAACTTTCACTTTCCCTCTAACCAAACTTCTAAAAAATTTAAATATTTTCCTTTCCTTTTCTTTTTTGGTTACTTGACGCTAATCAAACATACCCTTAGCAAAAAAATTGAAGGGGGGGAGGGTTTTAGTGCAAAGGGCATATAAAAAAGAGGAATTTAATGTAGTTCACCCTTAAAACAAAGCTAATTAAATTGCACTAAACTCTATGCACTATTAAGAAGTTTTAAAATACTCCCTCTACTATTGTGATATATAACTAGCGTATATGAGCCACAATATTTAATGTCTAGCGTCACGCCCCGCAACCAAGAGGTTATGCCACGCAGGCGCCACACAGACGCCCATCAGACAATAATATGGCAGCCTGCATGGACCGAGAACTTTCTAGACTTCTCCACACAAGTATAGAACTTTCCGGAATTCTCTAGAGTAGTGTGGAGTTGTCTAGTCTCTTCTGGACTTGTCTAGAGTTATATAGAATTCTCTAGATTTGTCTTGTATATTGTAGATAGTTCTAGAATTGTGTAGATATATCTTTGGAGGATTCTAGACACTATTTATAGGCCACACATTTGTACACATCTAGAATGTTCTTGTAAGGGCCAAAGACCTATAAATAGGAGGTGGGAGTTCATTTGCTCCTCACCAAGTAATCAAGTTGTAATCTCCTCTCAAGTAATACAAGTGTTCATACATTCCCAAATTGTCTTGCTCACTTGCCTGATCTCTTCCTACACACCCAAGTAAGCAAAACACTTGTCTAACCTTAGTCTTCAATAAGCTAGCACACTTGGTTAGGCTGACTTAGCAC